ATATATATATATATATATATAGACCTAGTAGCCAGACAAACTTACCCAGGTTTTACCTAAGCAGATCGTCAGGGAAAGCTGGCTAAAGAAATAAAAAGAGAAAATATATATTTATAGGCCATAATCAAAATCATATCACATGGCCAAAGAAAAAAGAAAAAGGAAGAAAAAACACAAGAAAAAACAAAGAGCTAGGTTTGTCTGGCTCACTAGGTTTATCTAGGTCTGCTCTACGGTTGTATTGAGCTCTTTTGTTAGTTAGTTGTTTACTCGTATCGGGGTTTTTTCTTTGGGCTTCAGGCCTGCATCTGTGCGATTTTTTTCGACAGACTTTCATGTTTGTAGCTCTTTCTTTTTTTTAAAACCTTTTTTCCCCTCGAGATTGATTTGATTATTAGCAAATCAAAAATTCGAAGGTTTTTCGAAACGAGTATAGTTATAGTTACACATATACATATATATATATATATATATATATATATATATATATATATATATATATATATATATATATAATATAATATATATAATAATATTTTTGTTTAAAAATATATTAAGATATATTTATAAGAGTTCTCATGTTTAAAAAACGAGAGCATGAAATATCAAAATAATTATTAAAAATTAAGTTGGATTGTGGTGTTTTTGATCACTTATATTATATGATATATATATATATATATATATATATATATATATATATATATATATATATATATATATATATATTGTAAACGGACAATATAGGCTTGTTATTATAGACATTTCTTTGAGTTAAAATAAAGTTTAGTAAAATTAAAATTGGAATCAAAATGAAAACTTAATTCATTAAATTTTTCACTAATATTAACTTTTGGCTGGAAAGCTATGTTTAAAGCATATTGATCTCCTGTCTTGTTTTAACTATAGAAAAAACATTTTTTAGTTTGAACGAACTGTAAAAGTAAAAAAAAGGCTATAACTAAATCCAATATTCATCATTGTTTATTTTTTATGTCATCCTTAAGTATATATAAAAAAAAAATAAATATGGTAAATATGGGACAATCGACAATAAGGGACAGTTTTGTGCTCTTTCACATCCATCAAACGGGAAAATGTCAGAACGCTTGAAAATTAATATAATGAAAAAAATTAATATAATAATGAAAGTGAGCATTGAAATCAACACTCAGAGGTGACTGGCTGTTTCATGCTAGATACAGTCGTTAGGCCGCTAGTGTTGGGTTTTTTCGCGTCTGTTTATATATATGGGTCAGTGATTCATTGCGGGTAGTCCGTTATGGCCGTTATTTTGGTGGGCGTGGCTTGTTAATTTATGATTGAAAGAAATATTAAATACACATAGTATGATTGAAAGAAATGTTAAATAAACCCTCTCTAAACTCGACCAGGTCTCTCAAACCACCCCCTCCGTTAAATTACAAAAACTTCCACTACCTATCAAAAGTATGAATTTTCATTTCGTTTCGTTTCGTTTCATCTTTTGAAGTGCTATCTGATGATCCAGGGTCCTTTAAAACTTAAAATTTGAAATAAATTATTATAATGGAACAAAAAAGTGGTCTGTTTTCTTTAATATATATATATATATATATATATATATGCGTATTGGGATATATTTTCGTTTCATCTTTTGGAAATGCTATCTAATAATCCAGAGTCCTTTAAAATGGCTCTGCTGATATAAATTATTATAATGATACCTTAAAGTGGTCTGTTTCCTTTAATATATATATATATATATATATATATATATATATATATGCGTATTGGGATATATTTTCGTTTCATCTTTTGGCAGTGCTATTTGATGATCTAGAGTCCTTTAAAAGGGCTCTGATGAAATAAATTATTATAATGGAACCTTAAAGTGGTCTGTTTTTCTTTAATATATATATATATATATATATATATATATATATATATATGCGTATTGGGATATATTTTCGTTTCATCTTTTGGCAGTGCTATCTGATGATCTAGAGTCCTTTAAAATGGCTCTGATGAAATAAATTATTATAATGGAACCATATATATATATATATATATATATATACATATATATATTGGGATCAAATAGAGATGAAATATTGGATCGTAATGCGATAGAAGGAACTGATAAAAAAAAAACAAATAGGAGACGTTTCTCAATCTAACATATTTCGCTTTTATTTATTAAGTATTCATAAGAGAATAAGTTATGGAAAACAAATCCTGGTATCTTCCGGCCTTATATTTACGATGTGCTACAGTAGACAGGAGATAGTGGAGAGTCATGATCTCGAACGTCCTGAAGGGACACGGCACATAGAAAAAGTAGAACACTGAATTCGGTTAACGCAGTGGCGTTGTTTCAATGTTTCTGCGACGTTATATTGCGGTCTATACACCAAAGAGCACAATGTGTGGCCATTCGGTTTTCAACATTTTTTGGAAGTTTCTTTGAAAGAAATTATTCGATCGGTCATCTTCCGGTCTGTCTTCGCACTCGGTAACCTTTATGGACCAAGAGACAAATGGTCGAGTTGCTAAAAGCGTTGTTTCATAAAATATATAATGTTTTTTAGTGTTCAATTATTGTCATTAGAATATGTTTACGTAACTCCTTTTAGTTAATTGCGACATTCGTTACTCAAGTTATTTAAACGGTCAAATCTTAATTCAGGCATGTTTGGTTGAATGATCTGAACATACGATGTCTATTTAAATGTCTATTTAAAAACAAATAATAATATTACAGTTATATAATTTAAAGTAACCTCCCTTAGATGAGGATTAAAAAACATAATAGCTTTAACAGTTAATTCTTTGAAAAGAATTATAACGAAACTCATTTATAAATGGTTTCTGTGAAGATTTCATAAGAATTTACAAAAAAAATCCCAATTATCGATTACATTCATTTTTTTATTTATTTTTTGTCTTACCAATTCACCCCTGAAGATTATCTTGGATGAGATTGGAAGTTCTTGACAAAAAAAAAAAAAAAATAAAACTAATTATATTTCGTTAATGGATTTAATATTAATATTAGAATTTGATTCGAAAATGAAAAAAAAAAAAGTTATATATATATATATATATATATATATATATATATATATATATATATATATATAAATTTGTTAAAAAGACAAACCTACCCAGGTTTCCCTAAGCGTATCCGTTTGTCTGGCTCATTAGGTTTATCTAATAAAACAATTCTCTAAATATTTTATTGAGCTTTTTAGTTAGTTGTTTACTCATGTCGGTTTTTTTTTTTTTTTCTTTAAAGGAGGATATCTGTTATATTTTTTTTTTTTTTTTGATATTTTTCATGTTTCTATATATATATATTTTTTAATTTTTTTTTCCTTCGGTATTGATTTGATTATTGGAAAAATAAAAAAATTGAAAAATGTTTTTGGAAAATAGTATAGCTAACTATACATATATATATATATATATATATATATATATATATATATATACAACAGAAAAGGTGCTATGATAATTTATGTTTTTTAATTATTTTTTAATAAATAAATAAGATATAAATTTTTTTTCTGGACATAAAGTGTATAAAAATTATATAGATGTTCTATATATTTACATATTTTTTAGAATATTCAATGTTTATATCAATATATATATTTATTTTTTTTAAAAATTTAAATTTTTTATATTTTTCTAGTGTTGATGAAACTTGAAATATTGGGGGAATTGATTGTATAAATATACAAATATATACATACATACACACACACACACACACACACATATATATATATATATATCAATATATATATAGATAGAATAGAATATATAAAATTTTTCAAGAAAAATTATCCTTTCAAAAATCATAAAAGTTCTCATGTTTCAAAATATAATTTTTAAAAAAACCATCCAAATAATTTTTAAAATTATGTTGAATTAAGGTGTTTTTTTTCCTGTTTAAAAAAAAAGCGAAATTTTGGGAATTAAATCCTCAATTTTTTTTTTAAAAAAATAATTATTTGGGTGGTTTCGATGTTTTTGAAACAAAGAAAATAATATGTAAAAAGAATCATATTTTAAAAATAAATAAAGTATTATAATATAATATATACTTCTGCACGGAGCACTGTCTTCTTAAATAAAAAAAAAATATAAAGGAACACCAGATTAAGACCCAACGTGTTCTTTTTTATTTTTCTGCATACCTGATGCACTATATATATATATATATATATATATATATATATATATATATATATATATATATATGGTAATCCTCTCGAATATATAGTTCAATAGATCGATAAATAGAAAAAATATATAAATTTAAAAAAGTTGAAAAAAAATCCGTCAGTCTGTTAAGTGCTAAAAGTGATAAACTTGGAATGAGATTATGTCTCTTTCGATTCATGATTGACTAGAAAGAAATTTTGGCAGGGAATTTGTAAAGAAAAGAAAGAGATAGACTGGCTGCCAAAAAAGGCTATAAGAAGTTTGATCAGCCAAAGAATGTAACTGGACCAAAACAAGAAATGATGGAAAAAAATACCTTCCATATTTCGCATAAGAGTTTATAGCGAACCCGACTCGAATTAGAAGAAGGAAGATGTCCGATTCGATTAGAATTTTGATGCAGAAATTTAAAAAATGAGAGAGAGACATCCAAAAAAACGAGAGAAGGAAAGAGGATAAAAAAAAAGAATGAAAGAGATATGAAAGAGAATAGAAATGAAGAATAAAAGAGGAAAAAGAATAATAAATTCTTTAATAAAATATTTGAAAAACTGTTAAAAAAAGAAAAAATCAAAGAGAAATTTTAAAAGTGAAAAGTAGTTTGAAATTACATTATTATATAGAGAGAAACAAAGGAGAAAACGAAATAGAGATGAATTGAGAGAGAGGAGAAAAAAGACTTAAAGAAGATAGGAGATTTTTTTAGAGAGAAAGAGAGTTCTCAAAAGATGAAAAAATAATGATTTAAAGAAAAGAGAGATGAGAGAAATAAGAGAAAGAGAGAAGATCTAATTGAGAGTGAAGATTGAGAGAGAAAGAGAGAGAGAGAAGAAAATTTTTGAGAGAGAGAGAGAGAAGAGAAAAAAAAGAGAGAGAGAGAGAGAGGAAGAGAGAGAAAGAGAAAGACTGAGAGAGAAGAGAAAAAATGAAAAGAAAAGAGATTTAGAGAGAGAGAGAGAGAGAGAAAGGGAAAAAAGGAGAGAAAGGGAGAAAAACTGAGAGAGAGAATTAAAGAAAGAGAGAGAGAGAGAGAGAGAGAAAGAGAGAAACTGAGAGGGAAACCGAGAGGGAGAGAGAGAGAGAGAGAGAGAAACCAAGAGAGAAAGGCAGAAAAACTGAGAGAGAGAAAGAAGAAACTGAGAGAGATAGAGAGACCGAGATAGAGAGAAACTGAGAGGGAAACCGAGAGAGAGAGAGAGAAACCGGGAGATAAAGAGAGAGAAAACCGAAAAAGAGAGGAAGAAAGACCGAGAGAGAGAGAGGAGAAAAATTGACGCAGAGGGAGAGAAAGAGAGAGAAGAAAGAAAGAGAGAGAGAGAGAGAGAAGAGAGAGAGAGAGAGAGAGAGATCAACTGAAAACAGAAGAGAAAGGAAAGATAGGAAAGAGAGAAGAGAAGAGATAAAGAGATAAAAAGAGAGGGAGGGACCGAGAGAGAGAAAGACCGAGAGAGAGAGAGAAAAAATTGAAAGTAGAGAGACCGAGAGAGAGAGAGAGAGAGAGAGAGAGAAACTGAGAGAGAAGGACGGAGAAAGGGAGAGAAACTGAGAGAGAGAGAGAACGAGATAGAGAGAAACTGAGAGGGAAACCGAGAGAGACAGAGAGAAACTGAGAGGGAAACCGAGAGAGACAGAGAGAAACCGAGAGAGATAGGGAGAGAAAGAGAGAGAGAGAGAAATTGACGGAGAGAGTGAGAGAAACCGAGAAAAAGAAAGACCTAGAGAGAGAGAGAGAAATTGAAAGTGATATATAGAGAGAGAAACCGGGAGAGAGTGAGTGAGAGAGAGAGAGAGAGAGAGAGAGAGAGAGAGATAAAAACTAAGAGAAAGATCGCAATAGAGGGAAACTGAGAGAGATAGAGAGAGAGATAAAAACTGAGTTACTGAGATAGGGTAATAGATAGGATAGATAGAAAAAAAAAGACAGAAAGTAAGAGAAAGAGATTGAGAGAGAGAGAGAAAGAGAGAAATTTTTGAGAGAAAGAGAGAAATTGAGAAAGAGAAACCTAGAGAGAAATTGAAAGAATATGATATATAGAGAGAGAAAGAGAAAAGAGAGAGAGAGAGAGAGAGAGAGAAACCGAGACCTGCAGAGAAAGAGAGAAATGAAAGAGAAAGATCGAGATAGAGAGAAACTGCGGAGAGAGAGAGAGAGAGGAGAGATTAGAGATAGAAACTGAGTCACTGAGATTGGAAAGAGTGAGAGAGAGATAGAAACAGAGAGAAAGAGAGAGATAAAAACTGAGTCACTGAGATAGGAAAATAGATAGAGAGATAGAAACAGAGAGAGACTGAGAGAGAGGGAAAGAGAAAGAGAGAGACAGAGAGAGAAAAAACTAAGAGAAAGATCAAGATAGAGAGAAACTGAGAGAGAGAGAGAGAGATAAAAACTGTCTCACTGAGATAGGAAAATAGAGTGAGAGATAGAAACAGAGAGAAATGGAAACCGAGAGAAAGATATATATATATATAGAGAGAGATGAGGGATTTCAAAAAGAGAGGGAGAGAGAGATACAAGTCAGATAAAAAATGGATTTTAGAGAAAAGACAGAGTTTAGAAAGAAATCAAGAAAGGAGATAGAGAGGGAGAGAGAGAGAGAGAACAGAGAGACAGATATAAAGAGATTTATATAGAAGATTTAAATATAAAACAGAGAGTTAAGGAAAGAGACATTTGTCATATGAGAGAGAGTTTCTTTTTTAGAGAGTAAGAAAAGAGAGAGAGATAGAATTTGAAGATCCAATGAAAGAGATAGGGGGAGAGATAGAAATAGAGAAGGAAGAGAGAGAAGGAGAGAGAGATAGAAACAGAGAGAGAAGGACAGAGAGAAAGTTAGAAACAGAGAGAGAAGGAAAGAGAGAGAAGGAGAGAGAGATAGAAACTGAAAGAGAAGGAAAGAGAGAGAGGGAGAGAGATATAGAAACAGAGAGAGAAGGATTGTTATCAAGAGAACCGGAGAGAGAGATAGAAATTAAAAGAAGGAAAGAGAGATGGAGAGAGAGATAGAAACAGAGAGAGAAGGAAAAAGAGAGAGAGAGATAGAAACAGAGAGAGAAGGAAAGATAGAGAGAGAGCGAGATAGAAACAGAGAAAGAAAGAAAGAGGGAGAGGGAGAGAGAGAGATAGAAACAGAAAGAGAAGGAAAGAGAGAGAGGGGGGAGAGAGCCTGGTTATAATGGTGGCAAGTACAAACTCGGATAACGAAACAGGAACAAAAGAGTGTCATGTGAGACTCAATCGAGCAACCATAAAACAATTTAGAACAATATAAACTTTGAATGTCCATTTTTTTCCCTATATTGACCGACGATAAAAATTTCATGTTAGTTTAGTCAAATTTTTGATTTTGACACGGATTTCCTTGTCTTTATCTCGTTGTTTAGATTTTCATGTTTGTTTTGCCAATTAAGGGCTTTTTGTTTATCATCCTTATCTTAACATTTTTTTGATAACTCCAAAGAAAAAAAAAAATGAATCTCTTTCAAACTAATATATATTTAGGAACTTCAATTGTCTATTTTCACATGAGGGTCTCACAAGAAAATCCATTTGCTTATTGGAAAAGTCGTCATTTTAAGGTTTGAAGAATATTGAACCAAGAGGAAGATGTTTTCCTAAAGCTAAGCAGAGTACTAAGAAATAGAAAAAAAAATCGCTAGAAACAAGGAAAAGAGTACTAAACAGTTACGTGATACCTGTCCTTCCTATATGGCAGTGAGTGCTGTACAATCTCCTCAAAGATGAAGACGAGATTTATTGCAAGAGAAATATGGTCCTACAGAAGGATGCTGAGGATATTATACACTGAATATGCGAGCAATGAGTTTTAGAGAAAAGGAAAACAAAAAGGAAACATGTTAAAGTTTATTTTGTTTTTCCTTCAACAAAAAGACTTAAATGAAATTCATCGTGCACATAAAAAGGAGAGAGGGAAGCGATGTTGAAATTACTCACGAGACAGACTTTAAAGAGGAAAACGACGCAAAACATAGTGAGATTGAATAAAATGGATGGCGGAAATGGTTAAGGGAAAATAAAAGAAAAGACGAAATTTATCAAAAGCTACAAAGGACGGGAAATTGTGGAGAGCCATGACCGCCTATATCTTTTAAATTTATGGAAACACGGCATTTAATAGCAGGATGTTATAAAAATAAAAAAAAAAGGATCTCTTAATTATTACGATAGAATTGTTGTGAAAATGATATCTATATATCTATCTATCTATGTTACCGTTTATATAATCCATATGTTGATCTATCAGTGTCCATAAAATTGTTTGCAAAAATATCTATCTATCAATACATTTTTATCTATCTATCTATCTATTCTATCTATCTAACAATGAAAGTTTCTAAGAATCATATCATATCTATCTATTCTATCTATCTATTCTATCTATTTACGTCTCCGTTTGTTCGTATCTATCTATATATTTATCTATCATTGACCAATTTTTGTTATATCTATAGTATATCTATCTATCTAAACATCTATCTATAAAAATCTATAAAGTACCGCATTTAATCTTCTTATTCTATCTATCTATCTATCTATATCTATATTAATATAAATATAGCTTTTTGTCCGACAGGCAAAATGTTTGTCGCCATTTTTGCTATTTATATAAAAAACATTTTATTTAAATATGCATATGTATTTTTTATTTTTTTTAAAAAATTGAGAATATTAACTATAATATATTTGATAATTGTTTTATAAATTAAGTTATATCTATATATCTATTATATAAATAAGTTCGTATAGATTTATCTATCTATATATATATCTATCTATCTATTTATTACATCTCCGTTTGTTCGTAATCTATATATTTATCTATCACTGACCTGGTTTAGTTTTCATCCATCTATGAATGTATCTATCTATCTATCTATCTATCAGTGTTATATATCTATCTATATATATTTATCTATCATTGACCTGGTTTGTTTCTAATTCCATGGTATCTATAATTTCTATCTATCTATCTAATTAATTTTTGGTTCGTATCTATTTATATATCAATCTATAATTGACCTGGTTTAAAAACCTGGTTCATCTTTAATATCACAATCTGTTGTTAATTGATCTCAGATGAAATTGTCCCAGAGATTTTCTTGAAAACAAACTTTTTTTGATATTTATAGTAGTAGTAATAGTGTGGTAGTAGTAGTGAAGTAAAAATGATAGTAATAACATAATAATAAATGGAAAATTTTTTTTATTCTTTGTTCAGTATCTGTTTATTATTTAATAATCGATTCATGGACCTTTTTTTGACCACCAACGAACAAAAAAAAAATTTGTCAATAATTCATTTGTTTTCTTAGTAACGTCTTATAACTGCGATTGTTGTTCTCCGACTGTTATTTGAATCTTTTCAAAATTAATTAAAATTTTTTACCGTGAATTTGAAAAATTTGACATATTTTGAATGATTTTATGAACGACATGTCTTTTCAGGTGTGAATACGCCTTGGGCTTTTTTTTAAATAATCCCTAATTTGGGCACCTTTTATTTCAACAAATATTTAGATGTACAGGGAAATAATAAAAGGTGTTTAATTTGGCACAAGGTCGTGAAGAATGGCCATATTTTTGATTAGAAAAAAACAATTACACAGCACAAAAATAATTAAGTGACCATTCTGTTTGTTAAGAATTATACTATTTTCATATTTAGAATAGCTATGTCGTTGTAAATATATATATAGAAGGTATCTTATATATTATGGAGATCTGAAAATTTATTTTTCTATTATGTGTCAGACATAGTTCGTGTGAAAGGATCTATCTATCTACCAATAATCTTTTTAAATGTATCTATTTAAATCTCCTTGGAAATAGTTTTTTATAATTTTCTATCTATTTATCTATATATCTGTTATATCTATCTATCTATCTATCTATGTGTATTTTCAGTTCGTATCTATCTATCGATTGTTTAAATTTTATTTTGCATCTATCTATCTAGCTAGAAATATCGATTATTGTTTTTCATTAATAAAATTGATATCTATCTATCTATCTTCTATCTATCTATCTATCTATTAAATCGCAGTCTTTAGAATCTATCTATATATATCTATCATCAATCTATCTATCTATGATTCTATCTCATTGACAGGAAAACATTTGAATAAATTTTCCATTCTGCATTTATATAAAAAATTGATTTGCCATTTATGATATTTTAATTTTTTTCTTCTGCGCGATAAAATTGATATAGCTATATATATTTGATTTTGTTCTGACAAAAATAGACCAATTATCAATAAGAAAAAATTATCATAAAACAGCATCATATTTTGTTTTCATCAATAAAACCACCATCCGCTTTAAATGCCGCTTTTCAAAATTTCAGCTTTCTTTCCAAAATAAATTGTATTAAATGTAAAATACGTAATTCCTTAAAAGCAACAGTCTGAAAATGTTTACAGATATTCAGTCAACAACAACAAAAAAAAAAGTAAGCTTGGGTAGATACAAGAAAAAATAAATAAATATGTAAAAAACGATGTTATTATATTTATTAAAACATGTATAATAGAAGGTCTGCTGTCATAATAAACAATAATTATATGTGTGTTTAATTGAAAAAAATAGAGACATATGTGGCACCATTTACGAGGCAGAGAAAGGAAGAGAAAGAAAAGAAGGCATAAAGAAAGGCGAGACGAATCGTAGGTGATAAGCAGCACACACACACGGCTAAGAGACAATGAAAATATTGATAAGTAACAAAATGAAAAGGGTGTCATTACAATGACAGGGAATTTCTGAGTAAAAAAAAAGAAAGGGAAAGAAAGAAGGAATCAGATGTGTTTTGATAACGGCTGTGTTATCTAGGTGCGTAAACGAACGGCTGGACCACTGGCCAAAAAAAAATTCATTGAAAATGTTATTTCGATAAGTGACGAAAAACAGGCCACTAAAAAGGACTTTGGACAGATATGAAAAATTAAATGCCACACAAGAGTGTCCGCTGACCGAATTTTTTTCGACGAAACAACTTTGGCCTGCGATAATAAAATTATGTTATCAGGAATATGTACCGAAGGAAAATGAATGGGGACCCAGAAGTGTTTTTCTTTCTTCCTTGGAGGCGACAGACTGACTGAAAACTTTGGGGATATTTCTTTTTTGAAGCCATGTTAATAAAGACCACCCATCTTGATAAATTAGCGATAAAATACCTGACAAACACCACGTGTAAAACAAGAGTTGTCATATTGTCCGTTGCGACTAGAGAAATGATAACGGCGATTTGAAAGGAAGAAAAGGAAAAGAAGAGATAATTTTTTTAGTTAAGCAAGATATTTTTTTTTTTTTCCCGAAACAAAGCCACGGATTGTTCACGCCCGACTAAGACATCATTGGTCAAGTGGTGATCACGTGACGCACGAAGGAGGAGGAAAGATACCCGACCAAGACCTCATTGGCCGAGTGGTGATCACGTGACGCACGAAGAAGGCTGTCGACGCCCCATCCAGAGTATAAGTATGAGAAGCTGCTACGAAGAAGTGGGGAGGGCAGTTCACGCCCCTCAGAAGTATGGTGAGAAAGTGGGAGTGAGGAAAGGTTCCCAAAAATGGAAAAGAGTGGAAAATCCCTAACCAGAAATAAAAGAGGTGGATATGTATTTAGAATTATCGACGAACCCCCCGACGCCAACAGACCCACCCCGGTTTTGGTCGGCGTCCAATAAAAGCGAGGCCCCAACAGGCAGAAATCAGTTTCGAGTTCCAGTTGAGGAGTTCGAGTTGAGTTGAGTTTCTGGAGTTCGGCTCCAGAGTCTCAGAGTTGAAGCCGCCTCGAGATAGCTGACCAAGATTCACGCAAAAATTCCGGACTCCTCTTCAACCCAAGAACAATTATTTTGAAGAGCGACTTAGAACCAGACCACCGAAAATTTTTTTTTCGACTTTCGTCCAAAGACACACCGAAACACCAATTTCTTAGAGAGCAAACAACTTGAAGCGTTAAAACTTGCCTAACGGAAAACGACGTGTCACAATCCACAGAACGGGTCGGGAGATAGATGCAGTCCTATGTATCGAACAACTAGACATAAAGTTTGTTACCTTTTTCTTTGATACTTTGAACTTTTGAGTTTTCATTTTTTTTTTCTTTTATGCATATTTGTGTAGTATCACCCCGTTGAACTCGGTTTGCATTACGGCCCCAACCACTGTTTGATCTCGTCTGCCTAAGATCAATTCA